GAGCCACCACACCCGGCCTATTTCACTTTATTTTTCATTTCAAAAGCATAATTTTATCCCACAAAATATTACTCAACACGCACCAAGCATCTTTTTTTTTTCAGTGATATTTCCATTTATTTTACTTTTAGTAATAAAAATTTTTTTCTATCTCATACATGATTGGACACATATTTTGCTTTAAAATTAACAGTCAAAATTGAAGAAACAATGGTTTATTTTTCTAATCAAGTGACCAAGCTGCTGAATCTTAAGGCCTCAATAAATGTTGCATCTTATTATTTTCATTGAATAAAACCTTCTATTTTGATTATTCCTGGTAAGTAGCAATTTTGTTTCTCCAGTGGCTTCCATTTGCCAAACAGTCATGACAGATGGTTTAACATGGTGGCTGCTGCTTTCAGGGGGTTCTGTCAGGTGACTCCTCATTTCCAGTACAGCAGCTCTTGGTAATCTTTCATCAAAAGTCCATCCATCAGGACTTCTCTATCGTGGCTGGCCAAGGAGTCCTGCTTTGGCTGCCAGAGCCTCATTCTGCTGAATATGATATTCCTGAAATCTCATGGATATTCTCTGTGTCATTTTTAAATATTTCTGTAAGCAATGTTCTGAACAGGTGGTCTCTTCAGGTTTTACTTCTCTTGTTGTGAAGTCTTTAACACAGTCCAAAAAGCAGGTTTCTGTAAGTTTATTGTAGGTCCCAAGAAATTCCTTAAACTGTTTTATCTGATCAGATTCTGGTATTTGTGCAGCCATATTCTTTTGGTACCTTTATTAGTCACCTTTTCTGATGCATGAGTTTCCTTTCTGTTCTGGAAAAGTTGTCCAACTTTTGCTTCAATGTCTCCAGTGAGGTTGTTTCTTACTCAAGCACAGGCTCCCGCTTCCGACATCTGTACGAGGCTGGGGGGCTGCGCTGGGTTGAGTCTGGAGACAGAGGGTCAGGATCAGGGCAGGCGCTGCGGTCGCTGCATAGGAAAGAACCCCAAGCATCTTTTGTTTGATTTTTATAAAGATAGTTCTAAGAGTGGTTTCTGGAAAGATTACAAATATAGAAACAAAATAAACCATGTATACTTGTAAAAGGAAGCAGAATTCAGAGGTATGGTTTGTTATTTCAAAAGTAACACATATTTTTTGCAAAAATTAAAAAATCTGTATTAAAATAATAT